AGTGCAAAGAACGGTACATTCCCAAGGGGAGTTAATGCATTACTCCGACGACTTTCTATGCTGAGGATCTGGAATGGATAATTCTGAATGGCAATAAGTCCTGTCTTTATTATTAGCAACTTGTGATGAATTACTAATGCCAAAAGCCAGCCACAAAATAGTAACACCAACCCCATTAATAGATTCCCTTTGAATTCAGCTTGACACAGTCAGAATCGAGTAAACCATAGCAGCAATCGAAAATTTTCTTGGTTCTCTAAATTACATAGGTATGGCCATAACCATAGGCACAGCCTTACTTCGGAGATCCACTGATTCGATTTTGGGATATTAAGAGTGAGTTTTAGTGAGTTTAGTGAGCCACTTTTAACAGTATTCCAGTTATATCACGGCGTGTCAGCTTAAGGAAAGCCCGAAGTGATGCAGGTCTCAGACGTTTTTCCACTTCGGTGAAACCCACGAGCACGGGTATGGTGCTGACAAACCTAGAAACATAATTGGGGTGAACCGGGATTCGAACCCACAATCATAGATTTCTGGCGTGCCGAAGGGACGCATCTCTACACAGCGAATCGCGGCGCCTTAGACGACTGGGCCACCCGTGCCCCCGTGATATTAAGAAGCTTCATCATATCATCATAAGGTTAGAGTTACAATAAATATGAAGGATGTCTTTCTGATTTGGCTTCCATTCCTAGACAACCTCATTGGAATGTCATTATTCCTGGATCAATGCTGGATTACAAACGAAGCATGACAGCTCTAAACAGACATACATTAGGAGACATCACATGGGTTCGGAGCATACTTACCAGGACGCTGGACTAATGGTTCATGGGCGGAGCATTGGAAGAATATAGGACTAACATGGAACCATCCCACTTCAATCTAAGTTCTGTCTAACATTTGGGCTGATGAGCTCAGGAGCCAAAAAATGATAATAAACAGTGATAACCAGGCAGTTGTTTCCATATTGAACAAGCAGTGAACTACATGCGAGAAGACTATGCAGTTTGTTGGTCAGTCTGTCCTTCATTGTCTCAACATTAATGTATTAGTCAAAGGTTAGTATAAATACTATTTTTAAAAACCAACAAATATGTTCCTTATCTGATGTTTCGCCAGCTGAAATCAGAAGAAAAAACCAAACAAACACCAGTTCCCAGGAATCTGTGGCTTATCTAAAATCTGAGGCCATTGGGGCACACAAAACACCAGTGACGAGCAATACTCAACATACCTACGCAGCTGCATTAAGGTTATTTGACAAGTTTTGTCACCAACATAAAATATCTCTGATTTGGACTGCGAACGTAGATGATATTTCATGTTTCATAGCCACTAAGTCAAGGACGATTATCTCCAGCTTTGCACCGCTACGCTCTGGCTACTGTCCTTCAGACAACCTTTTAGTTTGCAAATGCATGCAGGGATACAGAAATACAGCAGCTCTGGTGACGACACCCGACGTTAGACACCCAATCATAACTGACATGTTAAAGAGCCTAACTACTGCCCCCCAGTCTGTTTGTACATCATGTTATCAAGCTTCTCTACTCCCAATTTGCCAAGTCACGTCACTAACCACACATCTGTCTTTACGCTCCAACAAGGCCAGTTCTTCATCCATATGAGTGGTAAACCTGTCATCAGATATCAGTTCCTACAACACACACTAATTTAGGATAGGAGCCGCAGGGAACACAGGTAACAAAGGGAATACCACATAACATACTTTGCACATGGGGTAGCTGGAAATCTCTGTATATGCTGTGTACATTCGCAGAAATATGTTCTAACAGCTCATTTCTGACAGAAATATGGTTAGTCAGCTCCAGTCTGATATATGGGGCTCACCGGAGAACCGTTTTAAGGCCAGAGGGTTTGGACCTGAATCTTCAGAAGTATTGACTCAACTTAAAATGGTAGAAAATAAGACAATTGAAGTTGAGCTCATTGCTGCCATTCCTACACCAAAAATTAAGATGCAGTCCTTTACCAGCTTAATTTGGGAGGTAATGGTCTCATGGATGTGCTACGAATGGTGAGTTGGGATCTTACAAAATTTCACACGATGCCCTACATTCACTTAATATGGTTAGATAGTCTGCAGAGAGTCACATGGCGGGGTATACCAGACGGAAGAGTGATAGCGTGCAAAGGAAGAGATTTAACCGATTCGGAAGAAAGGTGCCCTGGACCTTGAAAGGCGTGTTCACGGGCACAATGAAATTAACATAGCCCACAGGTTTCTTCAGACAGGTTGGCACCCACCTGTCAGACATTGGCAATGACAAATTTGTTTACTCCTTTGAAGAGGTTCTTGAGGTGTTTGCTGGTTTGTCCGCTCATTTCCAATTCTTGTTTCATTTGTATTTCTGGTCTTATGCTTAATCCACAGGGGAAAGAGCTTGCCATAAGGTCGTGGCAGGCGTAACACGTTTCTCATAAACTGTAAGTAAGTTGAACCTCAACGTACATGTTGCACCTCATGAAGTGTACCACAATCACAGAGGATGGCAGTGTATCTAATGACACAGGATTGACTGGAGCTCACGCCTCAGGTTGTGTTTAGTCACGGAGGATGAACTGTACGTACTGTGTATATTCCAGCCCATTTGGTCATGATGTGTACATTCCAGGCCATTTGGTCACAATGTGTATTGTTCCAGCCCTTTTGGTCATGATGTGTATATTTCCATCCGACCTGATAATGGTTTTGTATTTACTCCTTTGAGTAATCTGTGTACTGTGTATTACTGCTTGTCATGACGTCCGCCTGTATATGGGGCAGTCGGGTAGCCTAGTGGTTAAAGCGTTCGGTCGTCACGCCGAAGACCCGGGTTCGATTCCCGCCATGGGTACAATGTGTGAAGCCCATTTCTGGTGTCCCCTGCTGTGATATTGCTCGAATATTGCTAAAAGCTCCGCCTGTATTGTTATTTAATAAAGCTGCGCCTGTATTTTGCCTCTTAGTATGCTTCTTGTTATCTTTTGAATTAATTCATTCACAATTCGACTTCATCGAGGCACTGCACTGAATTGTCATCAGGCTGTAACTTAACGATGGCTTTGAGGGAGGATAATGTAAAGGTTGTAAATATTACTTTAATCTTTGATGTGTGGGTACACTCCTTCCACACCCGCCCCCACCCCTCAACGTGTGCATGGGTCTTATGTGTTGATCCTCTTTACATAATCTAATAACTATTTAGTTTGTTATGAACTAATATGTTTATGTTTTAAGGAAATGATTCATATTAGTATGTTTCCATAAACATACAAATAAATCCTAGCCCCGACATCTGCCACCCCAAGAGAATTTTATACAGAATGTATAGAGTATCGATACAGGGATATTGTACCTTTCCCCCATATTATCAACTTAACATACATACACTTGGAAGGGTGATATATATTATTAAAGCATTTCAATTTTGAACGAGGAAAATAAAGATCAAATCTATGACTATTGTCATGATAATAATTTATTACATCATACCTGATTTTGGTGTAAAATACTTTTGGCAATACGAAATCTGCTCTTAAAACTTCGTACAATGACGGACCGGCACCGTGGTGTAGTGGAAAGAGGGTCTGCCTGGATACCCGTACTTGTGAATGTCTCCCACATTTGACAACAGCTGTAAAAACTGTTAGTCCCACTTTCAAATTTAATATTTTGTATAACCAAACACATTGTTTGGTATTTGTATGTGAGTGTGCAATTCCCTTTCTGACTTGCATCATATGTTCCCGTGTTTTTCAGGTGAACAATTGACCTTCCTTTCCATGTGTTTGTGACGGGTGCCACATATTTATGATATGATCGGCATCGTACAGTGGACAATGCTATTAGCTGATATTACTTATGACCATGAACATGATTTGATCGCTTTTATCAACACACACTCATGTGTAACTCACATGTTGTACCCCAGGAAAAAATAATAATCCTGATAAATTCCAGATATTGCACATTACCTTGCAACCTATTACATGGTACATCTAATACAACATAAATACTGACAGAGATCATGCTTCATAAATCAAACACCCCTTTCTATTTGCTGTAACCATATAATCTATGCGTGTAAAGCTCTCTCTATGACATCTTGAGTTTTTCTTACCTATTTTATTTTGAAATTAAAATAGTTCACAACTTCAGATTAGGTTATGGAACATATAAAACACATTTATAACGCTGATGGCAGAGTTCACAACGAACACCAATTACATCATACCATATTAAATGTCTTTTATTCCTTTGTGTATAGAATGTTAGATAAACTGCAAAAAGCGCTTATTCAATGCTGTCACTTCAGTTACCACACCATGTGACCATACTGTGTCTACATACTGAGAAAAGTACCTCTCTTTGTAACGAATCGTATTGACGGCCAATATTACTCCATTGGGTTCCACTTTTTACTTTCATGAAAATACCGATTGTCACTTTGTTTTGTTTTTTCTTTGTGGGGAATTTAACGCATGAGTGACCAACAGTACAAACTCGTCTGATCCGGCTCAACTCGAGGACAGAGGAATAAATGTTTATTGAGAAGGACCAAGGCATTTATAGGAACTGACCAGTATATATATATAGTGTGTGTGTGTGTGTGTGTGTGTGTGTGTGTGTGTGTGTGTGTGTGTGTGTGTGTGTGTGTGTGTGTGTGTGCTTCATCAATATCTCCAAATTGTGTTAGACAGTTATAAGCACAGAGTAAATCCTGTTTTGTGTGTGAAATGAAAACTGTTTGATGGTAATCTTTTGTGTATTGCCCTTGTTATATATATATACATAGTGTGTGTGTGTGCTTCATCAATATCTCCAAATTCTGTTAGACAGTTATAAGCACAGAGTAAATCCTGTTTTGTGTGTGAAATGAAAACTGTTTAAGGGAATATGATTGAAAGAACGTATCAGTTTATGGATTCCAAATACATATCATCACATTATAACAAATAGCATTGTACAATCAGTGTGGCCATATACTCACGTATGACATCAAGCACCTGTCCACAGTCAGACATCTGATCCCCTCTAGAGCCTGGTGAACCCCTGTAACAACTGTAGACACCATGGTCAGAATTCCACACAACATCATACAGCAGGAAACTGAACACACCAGATCCTGACGAATCAATGTTCCCAGTAAACTCTGCTCTTGTCCTGTACGTGCCAGTGATGTCCACCTTGTTGTAATTGGTCACATGGAACAGAGTAATGTCTGATGAATAACGTCTCACTGTAAACTCCCTGACAGCAGGCTGGGGTAGTCTCCAGGACAAGGTTGCATTACTTCCTTGACGAGCATATACCACTGCACCAGCTGAAACACAACACACCGTCTGTACTGTTGGGAAGTGGTTAATCAACCACCTGAACGTACTTCAGCACATTTTTCAACAAAGACACTTTCTCACAATTTCCGTCAAGTTGTTGAGAGAGATGGGAACTTGCTAGGTTTGATGACTGCAAATTGTATTCGATTTCCTGACACCAAATGTCAGGTCAAACTAATACTTATTTTATTATGTAATAACTGGAGATAGAATATGTTCATGCTTATTTGCGTATATTCACCTTATATTCAAAACACAAAATATCGTGTTCAGTTTCTTGTTTCTTTCTATGACCATATCTATCCCGCCTTAAATGTTTAGAATGACACACAACTCTTAACTCCTCTCGTTTCTAAAAAATCCTAAAGGCTTATTATGGGACCATTGAGGCTTAATTCATTTTCATTCCCCATTAGAGATAAACAGCAGGACAGGCAATATTTATTGATATTTTATTTAATATATCTAGGATTATATTTCATATGATCATATGAAAGTTTGTTTTGTTGTTTAACGCCGCACTCAGCAATATTCCAGCTATATGACGGCGGTCTGTAAATAATCGAGTCTGGACCAGACAATCCAGTGATTGATAACATGAGCATCGATCCACGCAAATGGGATACAAGGACATGCATCAACAAGTCAGCGAGCCTGACCACCCGATCCCTCTTACGACAAGCATAGTCGCCTTTTACGTCAAGCATGGGTTGCTGAAGGCCTATTCTACCACGGATCTTCACGGGTTTCATGTGCAAGAGGAGAGTGATAAATGTGCAAAATGTGCTCACTATTCAGTACACAATGGCATAGAAGAAAGATAATGTTATAACGTTGGTTGGCTAAATACACTGGGGTTTTTTCAATGAGATTAGAATTGATTTTTTCACAAGTGACATCTACCATACTATTCAGGTGTTTTGGTCTTATTTACTTCTCATACAAAGGACTCCCACATGAGCCCGTTCGGAATCAAACCACTTTCTACAGGATTCACATATGAGATTTTAGATACTTACAAAACAAATGAAAACAAAGCTCAATAGAGAAACTAGACTAAAAACGGACTGACGTAGGACATCAAAGGATATTCAAAGCATAAACAATTCTAACAAATGATGACGTACGAACGGCGTTAGAGAATAGTAATACTTCTACTGAAATCAGGACAACCGCCATGTTCTGAAAGCTTATGTGTGCTTGTAAACATGCATTGTTTTCTATCAATACGTAAAGAAGTAAACATATCATACATGTCTAAGAAGAAACAAATAATTAAGGTAATTAAACTTCTATTATCGGGTACCAAGGGGTCTCTTCTAGTCATGATGTAGCAGTACTTCTTTAGTGATCCTGGTGACCTTGAAGTACTACTAGTTGCCTTAAATTTTGCATAGTGGCAATATGTTCATACAATCCACCCTTTTGGGTTCAAATATCAACGACAAAATAGTAACATCTTTAGAGACAAGCAGAAGCATGGAAGCGCCTCTTTAGTCGTATCCTTGATCCTTGTGGCGACAGCAACGAGGGGGTACCATCTAAATCAACCGATTTTACTTGATATTGGCAGCCGTATTAAGGAAGGCAAGTTGTCTTGCCTTAATGTTCAGTATTATAAGATATTGTTACCAAAAGCTGGTATTAAAGGTTCACGTTACCTCCTAGAATATAGAGGTATTACACTTAATTCAATCCCTTCATTACATGCAGCTATATTAAATACTAGACTGGCTGGTTGGTTGGAGAGCAATACTATCTAAGCTGATGAACAAAATGGTTTCCGAAAAGAGAGAGATTGAACGGATAATCGATATGCTTTATCTACTTTAATTCAAAATAGAATAACCTGAAAACAATCATCTTTTGTTAGTTTTGATGATATAAAAAAGGCGTTTGATACTGTTACAAGAGATAATTTGCAGTTCAAGCTGCGAAGAGCTGGTGTAAAAGGCAAAATACTGGACGCCATACAATCGATATATCATGATGTTATTGTTTTGTAAAATTGAATGGATATTTCACTGAACGTTTCCCTGCTTATCGAGGAGTAAAACACGGCTGTAAATTCTCCCCTACTTTATTTTCAGAGTACATTCATGATTTGGTTGAATGTATTAATAATCGCAATTGTGGTATTCAAATAAACGATGTAATATTATCTTTGTTGTTGTGTGACGTTGATGTCACGCTCATTGCTCCAGATGAAGCGTCTCTACAATCTATGCTTAGTGTCTTGAATGATTGGTGCAAACGTTGGCAATTAACTATAAATGGTAGCAAGATAAAAAGTGTACACTTAAGATGTCCTTCTGTCACATGGCCAGAATTCAATTCAATTGTGCTGATGTCACATTACAGAATGTTGAATTTTACAAACATCTTGGCTAATGGTTTAATTACTTCTTAGATATAGGAAGAACTGTGAGGAAAGAAATGACTTCAGGGACTACTGAGGACCCAATTTTAACCAACTGAGTTACCGATCCCAGCCCTTCTTGGTACTGTGTATAAGGTAACTATCTCACCAGCAAATTTCCCGCCTCTTGTTGGTGTTTTTGTTCGTTTGTTGTTGATCCTGGTTAGAATAGGTCTTCAGCAACCCATGCTTGCCGTAAAATGCGACTATGCTTGTCGTAAGAGGCGACTAACGGGATAGGGTGGTCAGGCTCGCTGTCTTGGTTGATGCATGTCATCGATCCTAATTGCGTGGATCGATACTCATGATGTCATTCACTAGATTGTCTGGTCCAGACTCGATTATTTACAGACCACCGTCATTTAGCTGGAATATTGCTGATGGGCAATGGAAGTGCAGGTGCAGCAGCACTATGAACGGTATTAAAGTGCAGGGTTTTTGATTGCCTGGCATATGCGTCAATCGAACAGTAACAGTTCAACAACATGCCAAGATTAATAGAAGTGCAAAGAAATAACGTCATAGGTCGCTTGCAGGCAGGGGAATCCCGATCAGCTGCTGTAGCCAGGGTTTTCAATGTAGCGCCGAGCACCATTACAAGGCTATGGGATCGGTTTTCACAGCTCGGGTCAACAGGTGATCCGCCAAGGTCAGGACGACCATGAGTAATCGACCCCGCCCAAGATCGCTACATCCGACTGCGCAACCTTATCCGATGACCACAGCCACCTCAGCCGTATCCAAAATACCCGGACTGCGAAGAATCTCCTACCAGACGCGTCATATTGAGTCGACAACATCGTCAACAACGACTTCATTGGTGTCGTCAACACAGGGTATGGCCTCAACTGCGATGGCGAGATTTCTGGCTCAGCGACGAATTAGGATTTCTCCTCCGTCGAGGGGATGGAAGAGCATGGGTCTGCAGACGTCGAGGAGAACGTTATACCGGAAAGTGCGTACAGGAAGTGGACAGGTTTGGTGGGGGTAGCCTTATGATGCGGGCGGATACCTCTCATCATGGCAGGACAGGTTTGGTCCATATCTAGGGCAATCTTACGGCTCAATGATACATCAACGAAATTCTCCCACCACACGTCCTTCCAAGGCAGCCAACGGCAGCAGTGTTTTCCAGCAGGACAACGCTCGACCGCATACAGCACGGATCACAAGAGCCTGTCTACACAACAACAACCTTGATGTTAACCCCTGGCCCTCCAGATCCCCGGATTTGAACCCCATAGAGCGCCTGTAGAATGAATTGGATAGACGGCTACGGCGACGTCAACCACATCCCAGACGTTGCAGCAGTTGGCTTTTGTGTTGCAAGCCGATTGGGTTCCCATTTCCCAGGATGTGATTCGTATACTCGTCTCTTCAATGAGCGGGAGATGTCGGGCCGCTATCGATTCTTACGGGGACATACGCGCTTTTGATGGCAGCTGACCTTCACCTTGGACTTTTCCTATGTACCAATAACTGAGATGACAACAAGTGTTCTCTCCACAACATTTTGGCTCAATACCTTGTACGGTTCCTCGTATAAATGTACTTTCCTACCTCACAAAAATCTCTTTTTGAAGAGAATATAAGTAAATGTATGTGTGGTCACAACGGTTTTTAATAAAAGCCCCATGGATTGAGGAATGAATTTTTTTCCTTAAGTTTGTCATGTGGGATTGTGCTGTACAAAGTTGAAAAATATTTTGACAGAATGGAACTTTTTTTCTAAGACTGCAAAGGTCAAGCAAATCCGTTGAGTTTTTGGAGAATGGTATTAATTCCATTTGTCTCAAATACTTTCTGTGAAAATAAAGATAGTCCTTCCTTGGTTATATTAAGGATTATGGTTAATCATTCAAACTGGGATTTTATGGTACATTTGCTGGACCAAGCAATATATCTCTCTTTGTACGGATTTTTATGGAGCTTTGGAATCAAGTACAAAAGAGGAATGGACATGTCTTCGGATTTTAGAGCCAAGTCAAAAGTTGATAGTACTGATTTATGGTTTGGGCAGATTTCCTCAGTTGACTTACTGGCCTTACACGTAGTATTAATTGATATGCCATTTGAACCAAGTTCTTTGATCAAACAATAAATGTGGTGATGCTTACATATAATGTTTATGTTATTTGTGGTGTCGTCATTTGGAACAACTACAAAGTTGTCATGAAAGTTGACTTCCGGTTGCGCATGATCGGCCGCTAACGGTTTTTTTCCGCTGGCTCACACCGACCCATGGATAAATTGTAACAATCTTCATTAATGGAGGCCTAAATACCAACTACAAACATCAGAAACCAAAGAAAGTGGGGTAAACTGTTAACTTTGGTATCTATTTCTGTGATTTTGCCAACCTTACGACTTTTGATATTTCTGTGAAACGAAATACATGTCGGACACTCAGCGCCTCACTCGCAGTAATATGGCTAACATGACTAATGTTGAGGAGATTATTAAAGCTTCTGAGAAAAGACTTGCTGAGCTAATTAGAAAAACAAAAGATGAAATTCAGGAATCCATTGACTCTTTAAAACTGGATGTTTCTGACATGAAAGAAAATGT